TTTCAATGGTCATTATAAGAGGAAAAATCTGCTAAAGCAAACAAATCCTTTCTTACATCCTCTACAAAAATCTTCCTACACAAATAATTGCACAGAGGAGTATTTCAAAAGCTGCAAGTTGAACCTATGAATAAATAAAAGGCTAACAACAATATTACCAAAATATTCAAATACCTCTGCATAAACTCCAGTATTCCATATTCTAGAAAGACCGCTAATAATAATAAGCAATTTTTATATACAGCTTTCATACTTCAGAAGACATTTTAAACTCATGTTTGCCATAAGCTGTTCTTTAAGACTCTTGCAGTTACTAGCTTTTACTAGTGTTGCTTATTACTTATACAGAAAAACACTAACTTGCCCCAAGGGAAAGCAGCTCTTTTTTATATGGCTAAATCAAAACCTGAATTAAAAAAAACTGCCCTCTGGAATTCAGCACTTTGAATACACAGCAGCACGCAGCACTTTCTGCTCTGCTGTCAGCCCTTGGGCTAGAGCAACCCAGTATGCATCACATCTCACACACATACACCCTCTACCATTGGGGCCAGGCTCCCATTAGGCACTTGCTAAAGGAGGTGATTTAAGGGCAACTGGATGAGAAACTGGTACAGCAGCACCACCTGGTGGGCACTGGAGAGAGGCTCAGATTTCCCTTGCTACTGCTTCAGTCAGGTCACTCCAATTTTCAATCCCCAACTGACCAGAGGTTCCAAGATCAGAACTCTCAGACAACAGGGCAAGGGCTGCATGGGTGTTCAGAGGCTCTCCAAATTACTTCCAGGCTCTGTGGCCTAATCACATTGTCCCCCGTGATGCAGATAAGGTAACTAATGCCTTGCTTTAAAGCTGCACGCACAGAGATGTGCATGAATTTACTGCTGTGACCTTTAAAGGGTTTTGCCTTAAAAAAAAAAAGTCATTTGGTATTGTCTGATCAAACCGTCCAGCCACAATAATTCTAAGCCAGAAGCACAAATAATAAGTAACAATTTGCTGCCTTTTATTCATTTCATGACTATTTACTCGGTAACTACATGTGTACACATACACACACATTACAGAACTGTAAATCTTTATGATACTTGATTAGTAATCACAGTTGTTCAATTTCTATAAAAACAGATAATGTTAAAATACTAAATCAGAGTATAAAATTAGTAACTGTACAGTAGCAAATATACACATAGGTTGCCAAATTTTATTGCTTTATTCACAAGTAAGAAATTCAAACAATTTGCCAAAAGCAATCCCTAGGAATGTTTTTAAAAGCAATTAAGAACTTCCATTCTCTCAGTCTCTAACTTACTTCTTTCAACCAAGATATTCTCTTTCTGAAAATGACAAAAATGAAAATTTTCTCCTTATGTCTTCCCTGTAGACCAGTGGGTTCTCAAATGGGGGTGATTTTACCCGCCAAGGGATATCTGGCATTGGCTAATTTTTCCCAGTTTTATTGAGAAATAATTGACATGCATCACTGTATAAGTTTAAGGCATAAAGCATGATGGTTTGATTTACACATACTGTGAAATGATTACCACTGTATGTCCAGCTAACATCCATCTTCTCATATAGATACAACAAAAAGAAAGAAAAAAAGAAAAAAGGAAAAAAAAAGTTACCCTTCTGATGAGAACTCATAGGATTTACTCTCTTGGGAACTTTCCTACATATCCCACAGCAGTCTCAGCTATAGTCATGATGTTGTCATTACAGCCCTAGTGCTTATCTTATAACTAGAAATTTATACCTTTTGGTATCACCTGTTTGGTCAGGGATGCTGGAATCTATGATACACATGAGAGTCACCCATAACAAACAATTAACTTGTCTAAAAGGTCAAGAGGGCCAAAGTTGAGAAAGCCCAGTCTAGACTCTATGATGCTAGAAGACAGGAACAATGTCTTACTCAAAAATGTACACTAAGTATTTGGCGGGGTGAGCTCATAACTGTTTGGTGAAATACATTGACACCGACATCTAATTCTTATATTCGCCCCCCCCCCCATATCTGTGTAAATAAGAAGGTGGGTGAACAACCTAGCAACCAGAAAAGAGTTGGCTACAGCTCCAGAAAAAAGACTGAAACTGACACTAGGAGACACACATACATCCACTAAATAGACATAGTAAAATAATCCATCTAGACTTAGATGAAATACCTGGATGAAATACCACAAAACTACTGCTCTGACTTCTAGCTGGATGTGCACTTACTAGCTTAATTAAACTTCAAAAGAATGCTGATGTTAGGAACACTTGATTATATGTTCAGGGCAGAGCATCCTATTTCCTGAAAAGGTGCATTCCACCCACCCCACACACAAGTGATCATTTATAAATTCTGTTATACAAAGCCAGCCTGAGTCCGATCACCAAGAGACAGTGAGCAAGGCTGGGGCACAGACGCCATACTACAGGAGATGTAACAGAGTCATGGTGCTTTCCTGAGGATTTCTGGTGAAAAAGTCACCCACGCTTCTTTCTGGCCATTGTCCCCTTTCAAACTATCACAGTATTTTTGAGTGATTTTTTTCCCCTCCCAAAATGAAGTTTCCCCTTGTATTTTCCCACTTAAGATAACCACTTTGAGCATTCTGATAAACATTCCAAAAAATTCATCATGCGTATAAAATTATATTAAAAACAGAAAAAAAAAAGTCTGATCTACAGCCTGCTGTTTTCACTCAAATATGTGTCATGAATATCTGTATGTCAATAAAGAGCTCTCCATTGTCAGTTGAAATAGAGTTTAGGTGATCTGAAATTCAGTCAAGACACATTCTTTTAAAGGTGCCAACTGTTTAAGGATGGAAAACCTTCTATAAAGAATATGTAACATACACAATCAAGGTGGCAACCTTTTACCACTTTCGGATGCAACGATCAGATTTCAGATTTCTGAAATACAGCAAATACAATTTGCTGACTGGCACGGAAATGATCCATGCTGCCCCTCCCTGCTGTTCCCTTAAAACCCCTTTGAGACTGGTGTGAGTGATGGCAGATCACTAAGGAAGCATTCGTGGACATAGGAGAAGCCAGCACGTAGGCCCTTAAAGGGAAGCATCAAGAGCAATGACCACTATTCCAAGGGGCATTCAACTGATAAGAGAAATCATCTTTCAGAAGAGAGAACCAAAGGTGGTTGCTAAATGTAGTGTTTGAATTTTTGCAAATATATATTACTTGTAAATCAGAAAAATATTGAAATGTAAGACATTTGTTAGTATTTGTCACACAAAGCATTAAATGTTGGAGCATGTCATGAACTCAACATTTTTCTTTATAACCTGCCCTACAGTCCTAATTCTGGCAAATGTTTTTGTTTCTTTTTAGTGGGTTTTTTTTTCCCCAATGAAAAAGATTTTTATTAGTTTTAATGGAAAAAACTAATGCATTTTGTTCCAATCATAAAGGCCCAAACAATATTCACAGATAGAATATGTATCAGTTGAATAATGAAAACAAGTTTATATAAGTAAACAGCAATAGTTGAAAAGCAGTTTGCACATAAAATGTAATGTGATATAAGGTTTATTGTATTCATTCTTTTTTCTTCTTTCTGCACCAATTTTTACACAACTTTCCACCCTTTTGGGTGTTACGGTTTTTGCACTCAGAATGCACTTATAAACAAAGTAACAGCAAAGTAAGATCAAAGAAAGGGCAAAATAAAGGCTAAACATGAGATTTCTTGAGAGCAAATAGAAACAGCAGTCTGAAGAGTCATGGAAGATGACTTCTGCCTCTCTCTCGTGTCAGTGTTTGTTTTCTTTTTTAAACTGGTGAACAAGATATAAGATTTCAAACTTCCTCCTACGGAAGGCCATGAGCTGAACAACCTTACTCTCTTCTGATAGTCACTATGAGCTTTAGGGGGCATTTAAATGGCCCAATCATTTCCATCTCATTCACAAAACTTCTGTTACCACACCCTGAGCATCCTTGTTCCCACCACTCATATCTGCCAACAGCAGTCATCAGGCCCATAAAGGCCCACATATTTTCTAGCTATGTGAAATTCCTGATGGAGCTATAGTGGAAAATAACAGTGTTCACTGAAAGACAGCAGAACAGATTCTAAGTTCCTGAGACAGAAGTCCAGAGACAAAACACCCAGCTCCCCAGTGGGGGAGAGACGACTAATAACAAAGCAAGTAACACTCGGGTAGAGAGTCACAGCTCAGCCTCTGAAATAGTGGAAAGACCCCAAGTTAGACATAACAAGGACTGAAGAAACTGTAGGGTATTAAGTCCACTTGTAAGACAGGCTTCAGTATTTTAAGGTCAGGCAATTTAACTTTAGGGAATATTCTCATTAACTATGAAATATAATAAGGGCCTAAGCTAATGACCTGTTGGCTCACAATTTAACAGAACTCCAAGATTACATCAATGTTGAGGATGTTAAAGGCCTAACTTTTCAATGAAAAAAATACTCTCTTAACAAGGAGAAACAATGGAAAATAACCAGCCAGAGAGCTTGGCAAATTAAATGATTTGTCTCTATTCCTGGGAAAATCCTTTTGGAATAATTAAAGTTTTTGCATTTCTCTGCAAGTCTCTTCTTGGTGAAGAGATGACAAAATAGGTTAGATGCATTTTGCCAAGTCAAGGCCAACCAAAAAGAGGCAAGAGAGAGAAAAACTAAGCAATTCAAATAAGACATAGTTGGATAGCTCGGGTCAGTTCTAACAAACTTCACTGGATAGCCTATAGTTTGAAAATTCACATTAATCCAGGAAATGCTGTATTCCTTTGCCTCACTGAAAACAGAAGCTGAGGAAAGTTAGAGGCATACTTAAAATATAACAGGAAAAGAGTGCGTACAGATAAGTAAATTTAGGCTAAAGGAAAAAAAAGGTAGAATGAAACAACGAAGCTAAGAAAAAAATTACCTTGGAATGCATGCATAAATAAAAATATTTGGAACTTGAAATTAACACTAATTTATGCGGGGGAAAAAAAAAAAAGGAAGCTTTGCCACTCACCAATTTTAACCTCTGTAAAGGTATTCTGCCTACATCTATCTGTGTCCTTTCTGGAACATTAGTGAATCGGACTTCTGGGACTGCAACGGCGCACATGACATGGGCCCACCTACAGAAAAGGAGACATAAATGTAAACAACCGTTTGGAACTTTTAACACTAATTTATGCGGGGGAAAAAAAAAAAAGGAAGCTTTGCCCCCCCCCAATTTTACCCTCTGTAAAGGTATTCTGCCTACATCTATCTGTGTCCTTTCTGGAACATTAGTGAATCGGACTTCTGGGACTGCAACGGCGCACATGACATGGGCCCACCTACAGAAAAGGAGACATAAATGTAAACAACCGTTCCCTAAACTTATGTATCCCATACTTCAACCAGAGGATGGCAATTCTCTCGGATGGGAAACACACAGATGAGAAAGAAAGCCCAAAGCCTATATCCATCACAGACTCTTTGAATTTAAAACCTACTGGATGATACCTGGATAGATTCAGTACCACACCTGCCCACCACTGTGACACGAAGAACTAGGTGAAAACCAAAGAAGCCTATCATTATATTGTTCTACACGTGACCTGCAAAATACTGAAATGTAGGTCTGCTATTTCATTTGATACTGAAATATAGAGGTGTTTAATATACTTAAGCTAATTATAATTAGTATGTGGCAAAAGATTAGTTCAATTAATAAAAGGTATAAACTGGGTATACCACATAATCCTTTTTACATAATACGAGTATCATGAAGCAAACTAGAACAAATAGCAAAAGTTTTCTAACAGAATTAATACTGATTAAGTCTTTAATTAAATTGTTTCTTATTGCAATCCTACTACAAACAAAGGAACCAAGAGACAAGGGAAAATGAAATTTAGCGTGTTCCCTACTAAAAACCTAGAATATCTCCTTTCAAATTCTGAATTACTCCAGAAAAATGACAATGTCCTCATTAACACTATTAAGTCTCTCATAAATCTTATGCCTCAAATAAATATCGAGACTCTTGAGGTTTAAAGAGATTTTGAAAGAATTATCAAATTTGTCCACCTATTTTTAAGTCAAAGCATATTATTTCACTCTAAATATAAGACTCCATCCTGCCTTTAAAGACCACAGGGACAGAGGGTGAGTGTGAACCCCATCAGATACAAATGAACCCCATTTAGATACGAAAGGGCATATTCTTCCGTATCTAAATAAATACTATACTCCTATAGCAAACACTACTCCTTTGTGTCCTGCCCAAAGGAAGGGAGAGAAGTTCTTGTCACCTCTGTCTTTACAGGAACTGCCTGAGTCATCTCGCAGTCTGCATAACCCGTGTAACATCCTAGAACTAGTCAATGGTTTTTAGCATAGTGCCAATGACATTAACTAAGACTGTGAGAGATGAACATCCAAAATTAAGCAAATATACAGCTTCTTAAACTAAACTTTATCAATGTTGGAATAAGTGCCTTCACTCTCCCTTATAAACAATCAGAAACATGCACATGCACATAATTATGCCAACTCCATCATTACACGACAGGACATGACATTACTCCAAGGGTACCAACTCCAGTGCCCATGGGGCCAGGCAAGATGTAACCAAATACACGCATACTGGTAAATCATGGTAACCCGAGGACTGCCTGCCCCATTTAGGCCAGGTTCTCATCCTAGCTTGTTATTGTCATATAGAGATGCACAATCATTTATTAAGTAAAGATGAACATCTGGATTTTTATATAAAATCTCTCAACTTTTAAATTTTAAATTAAATTCATAAAGTGGTGTGTCAGTCAAATAAAACATATCTTGGGGCTGGATCTGGCTCTCAAGTACCATAATACAACCTATACCTAAACCTTTTCTACATGTTTCTATTTCCATAGGAACCTATAATTTGCTTTGGCCCTATTTTACATATTTGAATCGGGTCATAAAAATAAAATTCACACAAAAATATATATTTCAACAACCGCCATAGAAACAAGACTTTCTTTTATGTTCACTTATGACTCTCTTCATATTCTCCAACTGTCCCCTTTAAATTGCAAAATCAATCTTTTCTCCCTGTGTTTCTATTTTAGAATACACACTTTCTTGTTAATTTGCTGGTGTTAAAAGTAAATGGTTTTATTCTAATAGTGTGATTATAATTGATTTTATTTACCTGAAGATAACAGATTTCACTGTTTTCAGGCATATTCTGTTTTTATTACAATGAAAGCATTCATCATATTAAACACAAGGATTCCAAAGACACCTAGAGGATGTGGGCTCTCTTCAAACTCTGTTAGTGAAAGAGAGGTTGTTCCTCATGATGTCAAAGACACAGAACAGAAGCTGACTTAGAACACCTTTGCCCAGCAGAAGTGAACATGCTGTCAGTAATGGTTTCTGGAGACATGCACAGAATCCCCACCTCAGACCTAAACAGCAAAAGCTGTGGAACAACGCGTACAACAATGAGAGGCAAAGCATACTGTCACCCAGAGGTTCAACACTCAAGAGAGAGAAGGAAACGATGAAATTCAACACAATTAACGTACTACTTACTTATTGTTCTTAGTTTCCTTAAGAGCACCCCCTCTCAAATTGCAGAGACAGCACTCCTAGGGCAGAAAAAACACCACACAATTATTAGAGCCATGTAATAAAAGTCAGTACTGTTTATCAAAATATCCCCATAAATGCTAATTTTTTATTTTAAAATTAAAATTATCAGGAACTTCATGAAGGACTATCTCTAAACAGTTCAAGAAAGGAGAGGAAAAGAGAGGTAGGAAAGTGAGGGGACACCCAAAAGTGTTCTCAGTGTATGTATCTCCTAGGGGAAACCATCATTATCCTAGTATCATGTTCAATTGCCATCGCTGGGGGAAAGCTGTGACACAGAGAAACTGGTAGGTGGAGAGATAGGTACCAAAATTCTAGAACAGAGAAATACACATACAACTTGGTTCCCTTGAGTTCTGGGAATCCACTCCTGTATACAGGATGGCTAAAAAACGGTATTGGCAGGCTTCATTCTGATATGTGGATAAGAAGGAAGCTCTTTTTAAAAGACACTCTTCAAAAAAACTAGCTCTTGGGTCTTTCTATGGGCAAATAGTGTTGGAAAAATTGCTCTGATAAACCCAGGCTTTCCAGCCCCAGAAAACAGTGCCATAAAATGTTTTCCTTTATCTTCCCCACATAAGTTTATATTTTTGGCACTTCTATGTGTCTTAGATTGGCACAGACTTTTCATTCCAAGATGACTCCCTTTACTACAAACATACTTTATCATTTCTCATTACAATTTTTTGAAAAAGTCCACGAGAAAACAGGGCCAGAAAGTAATGCAATGCCTTTTGTTGACCTAGAATTTTTAATCAAATACCTAAGTAAATTTTTTATTTTCAGCCTCAAGCTTGTCCTCCCAATTTACTGCACTAATAGTCTGGGGTTTCTTTTCAATAGTTACAGGTTATTTTGTGGGGTTTTTTTTTCTTCCAAGCTGTCTATATAAAATTTCTTTATATGTTCTTTAAGGTGATCTCCCTTAACTGATTTTGACAGCTTTGCTCAGCTTTACAGGGAATCCCTCTAACTTATCTACTATTAATAATGGGGTGTCATACTCCACAGCTTTTCTTTTCCTGAGAACAACACCAAAACCACTGAGGAGGATCAACATAGCTGTAGAACTCTTAATAAGCGGCAAAAAAGGCAAAAAGACTAGAAATGTTCAATGGTTTTACTTGTCTGGAAAGTCTCTGCACATCTATTTGAAATTTCCCTGGTGATTACTAAAGGTTCGGAGTAGCAAAATCTGCCCTGCATATATCCATTTGAATCCATGATAAACCCAGCTCAAGAAGATCATTTGATGGAGAACATTCTCTATTGCAAAGCCATATTCCAGCGGCCTTTGAAAGAACTGGTTTTGATGAAACACACAATGAAAGGAAAATTTCACAATCCAAATAATGAAAATGAGAAATCCAATCATTCACATTATTCAATAATCCAAATTATTCAATAACAATTTCATAAAATGTTACTGATTTTATTTTTTTCAGTAATTTAACACACTTGCTACAGAGAGAGGATGAAAATGAAAACAAAACAGGAGGTCAAATGTTTTCACTGAAACTAACATAAAAAGATGTTAATACGGAAGTGGGAATGCAGGAAAGGAGAGCTATGGACCGTGAGAAGTGCAGACACTGAGAGAATTAGAGGTCTGATTAATGAAACTAGTAGTGAGAAGAAGCCTAAAGGGACGAGTTAGCAGAATGAAATATAGCAAAGCAGCATAGAAGCTGGCTTCCGTGCACCTGATTAGGATCATGAACAGGTACACGTGCTGCAGAGCCAAATATAACAGAAGGAAACAGCCTCTTAAGTGGAATCTGTAGACTCAAGGTGTTAAGTGGAGTTGAGAAGACTCCCGCCTGCCACAACATGAAACTTGTTCTTTCTAGGGTCACAAGCGATCTCCATGTCACCAAATCTAATGGATATTTCAAGTCCTCGGTTCACCTGACCTCTTAGCAACATTCAACATTGTCAACTGTGCCTGTAACAGTTTCTCCCTGTGGTGTCTATGACCCGCCACTCTCCTCATTGTCCTTTTCTATCTCTAGTTGATACTCAGCTTCCTTTACAGGCACCTCTTTCATGCTGCTTAAACACTGTAATTTCTGTAGCAGGGCCTATTCACTCCTCTCTCCACACCTGTTTGCCGGGCATTTGATCTACTACCCTGATTCCTAAAAGGCCACTAACTCAAACATCTTGTCTCCTGAGATGACTCACTCACAGCTCCACAGGCATCTCAAATACACGTGCAACACTGAGCTCATGTCTTCTTCCCAAGCCAGTTTCCCAGCAGTGGCATCAACCATCCAGTCTAGCTCAGGCTAGAAGACATAACCAGAAACGTTGGAGGAAAATGGCAATGGAACAATATCCATAAAACACTGAAAGAAAAAAGCTGGCAACCTGAAATTCTATTTCCAAGGAAAATATCCTTTGAAAATGAAGATAAGATAAAAATAATCTCATAGAGACAAAAATCTATGAGAATGAATCTACACTATAAAAACCACTAAAAAAAAATCTTCAGAATGAAGGACAATGACACCAGCCTGAACCACGAAGTGGCAGGAAAGAATGAAGAACACTTAAAACGGGTAAATATAAAATAAAACTTTAGTATCTTCAAAACACACACACACAAACAAAGAGAGCAAGAGAGAGAGACAGAGAGACTATACAAGTTTCATTTAAAAACTTGATTGTTTCACACAAAAATAACAATACTACGGAGTGGATGGAGTCTATGCAGAAGTAAAATGTAAGATAAGACCACAAACAGAAGGGAAGTTAATCAAATTATACTGTTGTAAGGTTCTTACACTGTTCATGAAGTAGGATGATATTATGGGAAGGTGGATTTTGATAATATAAAAATGAAAATTGTAAGTTTCAGCAACCACCTATAACAAAGCCCTCAAGAAATTCCCAAATATTAAGTTCGAAGGAATATAAGCTCACAATAAAAACTCAAAAACCATCCAAGAAAATATGGTTACATAAGCAGGAAAAAAAAGACAATAGAATTAGATGCACATTGAGCTCAGATATAAGATGTAAAATAAGCATTTTAACATGTTTAAAAATTAAATATGGGTATTAGGAATGTAAGTGAGAGACTATAAATAAATAACAAATCAGATTTTTTAAAACAATATAAAAATTCTATAACCAAAAAAAAATAACCTGAAATTAAAAACTTAGTGATATGTTAAAAGGCAGACTACTCTTGGTTGAAGAGAAAATTAGAAAACAGAAAGTTAGAGCTGGATAAATAACCAAAAATTAATACCACAAACTATTCAAAAATGAATTCAGTTGAATGTGTGTGCATGTATTTCTGATTCATAAAAATAAATTCCAATTGATTTACAGACCCAAGCTCAAAAACAAAGCAGAACTACAGAAGTATTCAAAGAAATTTTAGGCAAATATATTGATGAATTTAGGATAAATATGACTTCTTAATATAACATTTAAAAAACAAAAGACATGTAGAAAACATTAATAAAGTTTGACTACATCAAAATTTTTTAATTATAAAGGATAAAATACTATATAAATTAATATAAGATTAAAAATTTACAATAAAAAACAAAGATTGTTATCCAAAAGATAATTTTTAAAAAGCCACACTTTTGAAAAAGAGGCAGAAGATTCAAAGACTCTTCATTGCCAATAAATACATGAAAGATACACAATTTCAAATGAAAGAAAGAAAGAAAGAAAATGAAAAATGAAATAATGAGTGTTAACCTCAGATTTTTAAATCGGAATATCTATAGTCTGGGGGTATGTGAGTTGTTATGATGGTTGTGGAGAGGAATTCAGCATTATCAATCAAAATTTTAAATGTACATAAATTACGACAAGGAATTCACCTTCTTAGAATCTATCTTAGCTAAACATTTACATCTATGCAGAAGTAGGAATATACAATGACTATCATTTCATTTCTGTTCATAATAGAGAAAACAGTTACATCTGGGAGGAACTGGAATTGTCAGTTACTTACTTTATTTGTAATGTCTGAATTTTTAAATTAGATTCAGGTTTGAAATTTAAAATAGTGATGAAAAAGATATGGTAAATCCAAAAATTACTGAATTACTAAGAACTACACAATGAAATATTAAGTGAAAACACTAAGGCATGTTTAAATAATCTGTGACACCATTTGGGTCTCCCAAGAACAACAAAATATAGCATTAGCTTATGCACAGAAAAGATCTGAAAGGCTGATTAACTAAACAGTATGAGTAGCTTTCTGTAAAGAAAAATGAGATTTGAGAATCTGAGAATGTTGGGAATGGGAGACCTTCCTAACAATACTTATTACTCTTACATTAAAAAAAAAACTCACAGACACACAAAGAAATTAAACCTTCTTCCATCTGTACCATTTTTCTAGGTTCCACATACATGCGTTAATATACGATATTTGTTTTTCTCTTTCTGACTTACTTCACTCTGTATGATGGTCTCTGTATGACAGAAAGAGAAAAACAAATATCGTATATTAACGCATATATGTGGAACCTAGAAAAATGGTACAAATGAACCGGTTTGCAGGGCAGAAACAGAGACACAGATGTAGAGAACAAACGTATGGACACCAAGGGGGGAAACTGGCGGGGGGGTGGTTGGGGGGGGATGAATTGGGAGATTGGGATTGACATATATACACTAATATGTATAAAATGGATGACTAATTAGAACCTGCTGTATTAAAAAATAAAATAAAATTCAAAAAAAAAACCTTCCATCAAATATGTGTAATTTAAAATTAATGTAATCATGGAGGTTTATCTTTTTCTCCTAAATTTTTTTTTTACTTAAATGAAAATTTTAAATGGTCATCTATGATTTCTACTAGAGTCTTTCAGTGTATGGAAACTTCTTTCCAGCCTAACCTGAGGAGATACCAAAATTGTTCAGCCTTGCAGAACAAAACAAATAAATAAAATTCCACAGTGAACACTCATTGCCAGGCTTTTTCAATCTTATGTTTATGAGCATGCCTCTTCTA